CGTGCTGGATCATCAGTTAGAAATGAATTATACAAACATAAAATTGGTAAAAAAAATCAACTTATCGTACAACTTACAGCGTTTGTAGGTTTTTTAAATCTGCAAAGGTGGATTCCTCTAAGTTTGAGATTCCATTTCTTGAAAGCTCTCTACAAGAAAAAACGCGGCTTAACTAAATAGGGGAGACTACAACTGTAGGTGCTGAATGGCACTCGATAACTTAGTTGTGGTGTATACAGTGTAGTATCTAGTCCAAAGTCAGCAGTTCATTTTAATCCCCAGTATGAGCGCTGCCTAAGCTGTCATATATTTTTATAAAGCTTTTTTTTAAACACTGACCAGAACATGGTGGAAACTTTGTTTTTGTCTATCCCCAACCATTCCTTCAGTGTGGATTTTGGAAAACTTTTTTCCTCATTTCCCTGCAAATTCGCCTTATTCAAAAGCCGATTACTAGGAACCTCTCTTATAAGCCCTTCGAACTTTAATTTCTTTATAGAAACAGCTTTCGAAGAATATTTTTCATGCTTTCTAGTAATATCCAAGCAGAGCAGAGCTAAAATCGTGCGTCACACGGTGAGTCACAGACACGCGATATGAGATCACTGACAACAATGGCAGTAGCTAGTGGCAAAAGAAAAAGTAAATACACTCAAGAGATGTCCTCAAGTTTGCTCATAATTCATGCTACAAAGTCTCCCGTCCCAGGTTCACCGGGAAATACAAATTTCACTGTTACGCTTGAAGCTGAACGTGAGCTTATACGACTTACAGAGTTTTCAACTCTTCTAACCCCTTGAGGACAGTGCCAGATAACTGAGAAAGTCTGTTGTCTTTGAGGAGCAATTAGTAATCTTAAGTCATTTCCGAGTTATTCGTGATTTTTAATACAACTTTTGACGTAAGCTGTTTGAGAAAGTCTGGTTGTATTTTCTCCAAATACGGCTTACAATGGAGCCTATTATCACCTTGGTGGTAGTGGTGTTGGTGGTGGTGGGGTTGGGGGTGGGGTGGGCTATTAACGTCATTTCACCGTGGAGTCAACTAATTTACTCTAGAAGGGAAATTTTTTAATGGAACGACATTGTTATCTGTGACAAAAGGCCTAGACGCTAAAGTGACTGAGATGAAAAAAAAAGCCTTGCGCCTCATCCTCCCACTTAAACAACGCAGCGCTTCTCGATTTGACTTTTTTTCATTTGTTTTCAAATATTGTGGCTGATGATGTATTGGTGTCATTGTTATTTACATGGTCGCACAGGCGACGTATGATGTTAAAAACAATGTTTTCTTGAATTCTTCTTAGGTTACTTATTCAAAGTAAACAAACAGTCAAAATAAGATGAAGTAATATATAGATTTAGCCAGGGCTAAAAGCGAAGCTCCAATTGTAATAAATTTATAATTTAAATCAAACAACAAACTTTTAATCCACAAATCATTCAACTTAAGGGCACATTCATGTGACTTTTGAGGGAAAGGCTAAGTTATTTTAGAGTGAAACATCTTACATCGAATTGATAACCTTATATGTACACCCAAAAAATAGCAAACATCTTCGATCACATTCAAGATCACAGTAGATTAGGCCTCGAAAACAAATTCTTGGAAAACAAATCACGCCAAATTTTTTTACGTTCGACAGGTTTACTTTACAAATTCTTGCCAACAAATCTGGGGGTGTTTAAACCAACCTTTTATAATTTTTATACACCACATTTGAGGTGAAACAGTGCTATTTATCATACAGAGCTCGGACAGAATGCGGTATTTCACAATTTTTCAAGACAAATTGCACTCAGTCAATATTCAGGACGAGCCAAACCGTTCCAAAATTTCAGAAAATTTCCAAAATCACCCATACAGCCAGCTGGTTCTCGTTTCTATAGTGCGAGCTGTCAGTGTGGTCGAGTGTTTGAATGAACTTTAACAGAGTTACACTTCAACATAATAGCGAATTTATTATTATTTGTTTTGTTATTTAATGGTTTCCGTTATAACGATGTGTAATCTTATAAAGCGTTTGATACGCGCGACATTTTTGAGTACTCCTGCAAGCGATGGTCATGAACGATGAAAACAAACGGCACGGACAAGCGATTAAAATTGCAAGAGAGACTACTAACAATCAAAAAAAGAGATATAATTCCGTGAAACATTTACAGAGACAAGAATTTTCATTCATGAAGACAAGTATTAAAGTGTCTCTAAAAATCCTGAGTCTTTCAGCGTAAAGCTTAAGTTTATGTTTTAGCCGGCTTCCCAGCGCGGTGTTTACTGTTTTCGAAGGTGAACTCCTCGAAGCAAGAAAATCGCTCAAAGTTTTCTTTCTACAGCCAAATTTATAACTAAATATCCTTCGGAACGTTTTCTTTCTATTTGTGGTGAGCAAATATATCTGAAGGCTTTTTAAAGTTCTGTAAGCTTATATGAAACCTGCTACTAGGTCAGATCATTGACTCAAATCCTGCAAACGTGCATAAACTTAACGCATAAACTGTCAGCGTGAACAGTGCAAGACTTCATGAAACACAAACATCAAATACAATAATTACTTACCATTCGAGATTCAGTTCCTGAAAGCTATCAAGGGAACCACAGTTGCTTGAGACTTTTAAACCCTCTTACGCATTAAGCAAGGTGAAAAACGAAAACGATGCCATCCGAAATCGAATTACCGAATTTTGACAAGCGACGCATTTCTCAACCAAAACCCGGTAAACAAACCTGCCATGAATAACAGAAGACTCTTGATAGCAGCTGTATTTCATTTTTTACCTCCAGAGGAAAAAGACAGTTAAAAACATCACAAGTTGACACAAAACTCTGTCAGCTTCAGCTGTCAAAGTAAACTACTTTCAAGATGCTGCATAATTTTTCCGCATAAACTCACCTGTCAAATTTTGACCAATCAGAGCATAAAAATTGGACGTAGAGCGTGACCAACGCGTGACCATGGTAAGATAAGGTCTTGTACTTTCTTGTACTTTTAAAAAAACTGGATGAATTTTCGCTTCCGAGGTCAGTTTGAAATCAAAATCCTAATAGTGCGGGGCCATAGTGACATAAACACAACATATTTGATATGAATCCTTGGAAAAAATAAACTTGAGCCTGCGATCATTTGAAACTGGTAATTCGTCAGCGGATAACTTTAAAAAATACTGGACCTCGATGGGTCGACACTTGAGCCCGCGGTACGGCCAGGTGATACTTGTCAGCGGATGCCCTGTTTTGATAGCTGTCAATTGATCACAACATTGATGTGCAGCCTGTGCAATTAGTTTTCTCTTGGGCTCCCAAACTAGCTAAGAGTGTGAGAGTAAACATTGGTTTTCCTGTGGTGCGGACGGACGGCGGGCGGTCGGTGTACGGTCACGTGATTACCAAATTTTCTGGGATGGGTAGATTTACTTAGCAATGGGGCTCCGCCCACGCACGCGCGTGGAGCTCCGCTAATATGATGTGTTATTCGTAAATACAAAGTTTTACATTAAGGGCCGTATCTAGAAGTTGGAAAATTTAGTAAGCTCCAAGATATAAGTAGAACAAAAACCTTTATAAAGTTCAAGTTGCCTGCTTTCCATCGGGCTAATTATATCTTTTCTGTACAAGGTGGATCATATCATGCAGGTTTTAAAAAATACGTAACTAGCTGTTGTTTCCTTCTTCTCCATTTATCATAAAAACGATTTGAATGCGTTTTTATTTAAATAATAGAAGACGAAGATTAACAAGATATCGAAGCCCACATTTCAAATATATAATAGCATTTTCGGCTGACTTCTTTTACGTTTTTATCATTGGCATAAACTTCCATCGTCTTCTGTCTATTCGCTGCCTGAGGTCTGTGAGGTGCAGTGTAACAGGTGGACATAGTCATAGACCAACTGGAATACTGGATTTACAATAGAATACTACCCGACCTTTTTACTGAATAAATGTAGATACAACTAACCAGGGAATTTAACTTTTTGACCTTTGAATTTCCTTTTTTTTTTTTTGACAACGTTTGCTAAGATTAGTTGTCACAGGTTTATATCAAGATACGTGACAAATGCCAGTTAAATGTCTTGGCAGGAAGTTAACTTTGTGAAACTTTTGGTTAGGGACATTAAGTCCAATACAGAAAGCATTAAACAAAACTTGTTTTATTGTTTTTCCACGCGTTAAATTGAATCAGTCAACTTTTCATTTAATTAATTCAGAAACACAAATTTATGACTGGCGCACCAGGGGCCTGTTTCAGAAATTTTATTTTGTTCGTGCCGTAAAGCTCATGGCATAGCCTATTGCAAACCAGATAAGAATCTGAGAAATTATTTCGTTAATAGGCTTTTTTATCTTCAAAAAGAAAATTCCTCATTATTATTCTCCTCACGAAGTAGTTTTGACTCATGTTGATTTCCGCGTGACCACGTGCAGAGAGTCTTAGCCCATTTAAGGGAATTAAGTGATACCGTTTTCCACTCATAAGGACAACTTAAGTTCCGTAGATTTTCAGAGTTCAAGGTTAACACGTATCCGGATCATTTTCGAAGGCGGATATTTTACTCTGTTTTAGTCTCCCATCCACACGTAAACGGAGTTTTCGGGCACAAAAAATCGTAGATTTTTGAAGAAGAATCTCAAATTGAAGATTTTTGCAAGACACCGGATTATCGTTTTTGTGTGGATGGACGAAAAGGGAGGTTTTTAATTACGATGATGTCATACATCATAGAGCGCACGCTCTGTACAGGACAACGTGTCGTATTTGCATCGCTTTAGCGTTTTCGTGTGGATCAACAGAAACTAGTTGATAACGCTACGTGAAGATGCGTATGGTTTTGAAAATGGAGAAAGAGAATCTCCATTTTCAACGATATCCGGATACGTAAGGTCGTGGCGTTAAATGGTTATTTTAGTTCATGAGTTTCTAAAGTTCGGGCCTGCTGTGAAACTGTTACAGGAGCGATACGCCGGAAAGGGCGTTTTGGAAGCAAACAGGAAGATATACATAAGCTTTTTACGGCCTCACGATAGCTTGTACTAAAGAGCATGAGAATAAAGGGGTTTGTTACTGTACTGAGACTCGGAAATAAATAATAAAATAAACCAACAAGAAAGAGACATTTGTCCTTCAGAAATATCGAAGGATAAAAGGATTTCAGGAACAAATAAACATAATGTGGTGTCCAGCAAATAAAAAAAGTCAGAACGATTGATCCAAAGATTTTCATGATGTTTCGGCTTTGTTTCAGTCTTTTTGAAGCAAGAGCTGTTCTCCCTCCTCTGTTGTCAAGCTTTACTCTAGACATAGGCGTACGGGAAATTTTTTGCCAGGGGGGGCGGTAAACCATTTGCCCAAAAATATCTTTCAAGTTGCCCAAATTTTTAAGAAAGAGTCGAAAAGAAATGAGGGCCATATTACAACAACATAGGCCGTCCTATGAAGGTGGCTCGATACAGTTTTCCAGGGTCAATGCCAAGTCTGAGCATAAACTACGTCGCCTTAAACAAACATTTGGAAAAATTGCGACCACAGTTGTATTAAGATGACAATTTGTCATCATCAGGGCTGCAATGACACCGGAGTTGTCATAGCAACGAAATGACCCCATTACCTATTTTACTTCAGCAATGATTCTCGGCACGGGGAACCTTACAAAATCGTTCACAGGAGCTTTTTTCCTCCAACACGGTCGAGATATTTTGGAAAAAGTTTTTATTATTGAAAATACGGTAAGAAAAGGAAAATCTTGATGTCTGGCCGTTATCTGTAGCAAACGAAGCGCTTTTGACATGCAATTTCACCTCATAGTAGTTTTAATCTTTTTAAAAAATTGTCTGAAAGGTCGTGGAGATAGCTCTGCTTGATTGCTAGAATCGAAAGAAGGATTTGATTAGTATGTATCCGGGCACTCTTGTTAGCGGTTTTACAAACATTTCGGTCTACTTAAACAAATTAGCGAATAATTTTAAACCGGTTGATAGATTTTTTAAAAGAATTAAGATTGTTCTCGTTATACTACTACATGAGAAATTTCTGCGATTTGATTGGCTTAGAGCAGTGGTACGTATAACAATTTTGAAATATGACTCGTGGTATTTATGCCAAATATCACTACAAATCAAGCTATTACCTATACTAATTCAAACTGAGAATTCAGTAGTCAGCCACTTCTTCATTTTCATACCCACTGCTAATGCTATCTGCCATACACTGTTCTTCGAGTGGAGATGATTCTAGAAAGTTATGCGAAAGTTTATTTTAATCAATTCACGACTGGAAATAACCCATTCCAGCTAGTGCAGTGCAGTATAGTGCCCAACCATGAAAAAACTGCAAATATGTAAATTACTCATCACATGCTAGGCAACCGCTGTGGTGTAACTGGATTATTACGCCGACTTCAGGTTAATATTCAGGTCTTCAAAATAAATAAATAAACATGGTGACGTCTTTAAAAACTGACTTTTCCCAAATTTTCTCTCGCTGCCCAAAAAATCTGAGTTGCCCAAAATTTGGGGGGGCTGCAGCCCCCCTCGCCCCCCCGGCCCGTACGCCTATGACTCTAGATGTCCGTAAATGTTTCATGATAAGAGGATACAAGATGAGAATTGAAATAAGCGGAGCACAGTAGAATAAGACAAAAGCGACGGTGTAATACATCCTCAGAAAATAACCACTCGTCAGGTTTCTACAAAACGTTTGGTTCTCTATTTCAACGATTTTCGTGTAAAACAGGTACGGTACTAGGGAAATCCCTGGCAACAACCAACTTATAACCAGAAAGAATATGCGAGGCTTTCGAGATATGTTTAAGGCCTTTAGTGGAAACGCAGTTACAATAAATCTGTCCACAGCGACGCGCATTAAGCTTAAAATGGAAACCACATACGACACTGATCGTGAATAAATTCCCATTTTGCAGCAAATTGTAGCGAAAGCTGAGTTTGTAATTAGACTTCCGCCAGGTTTTAACATCCCCTCAGTAGCATAGAGCGGCCAGTTAAGGAGAACACAAACCAGATCAGAAGCCGCCATGTTAACGATGTAGTAGTTAGAGCTGGTTTTAAGGTTAACAGACTTGATAAATGTTAGGATGACAAGAGAATTTCCCGTTAACGCCAGCAAGCTGACCGTTGAAAGAATAACCGTTACTGTTTCGGACACGCTAGAGGAGCACCGTGTTTGGTCTGAACGGTAAACTGCGCTGCTATTATTCATGTCTCTCTATCATTTCACTAGCCACCGTAAAAGGAACCCTTCTCTGTTCATAAAGCATTTGAAAACTGGTGATGAGAAATAATATCTTAACATATAAAGACCGCAAATATTGATTCAGTGAGCTATTAACGCGTCCACCACCTGCAAGCGCTTTCATCGTCCGATTACAATTAAAGTTGAATGGACCTTAAAGTCATTATTGCATTTGCTAAACAAGTGTTAGATACTGAGAACTTACAGCGTAATTTTCAACATTAAATTTCAGTGCCAATCAAAAATGACGACCATTTAACCGTCACTTCACCGATTTAGACAACCACATTTGAGGTTTTTACTCGCTTCAGTGCTTTTTTTTAAAAAAATGGCATATGAATGTTTCTACCGAAATTAAAATTTATGCGGCTATTATCCGCCTGTATATTAACACTGTCCGTGGCGAGGAAATCATGAGCAAATAAAATTTTTGCAATTGGTTATTACTATGTTAATCCAAAACTTTGTCTGAAAATTGCAAAAAGTGCTTGATTGCGGTTATACAGTTTCACATAATGCCTTAAGGATCATAATTAGAAGAAATTTAAATTTGCAATAAAATTTGCAATGCTTGGTGTTATAATATTTCAATAGCCTCTTTTGAGTAATCTCAATGTCATCTGCTTTGTTAGACGATCGAGTGAAAATAGTTAAATTAACTTAAACAGTTGATGGGTTATGTTCTGCCCATAAGCCTTCCTTAAGAGACGGTTAATTGTAAGGCGACACTCAATATTTAACAGTTGGCTTTAATTTCCTCGCATAAAAAATATGCCACGTCATGATGAAATAGACCTAGTCATAAAGCGGTAATATTTCTACATAAGAAGAATTTCACCGATGTTAATGCGTAATCGTTTCAAAGACGCTTTTGTTGTAAGGTTTAATTTCTTGGATTTGTCACATGTCGAGGCTAATGGAGAACTATAGATCGCTATTGTACTGAAGTCATTCTAATTGATGTGGTAGAGAAAACGTGCACAAGTATCAATTTTCATCCTTTGGGGGGTCTATGCCATAAACATGCGTAGTAACGTGTTTACTCTCTTGTCTAATGAAAAACCTCTGTAGTCAAAGTATACACCACTGTTGATGTTTATTGTAATTGTGCTTATGCGTAGCAAAACCAGTCTCAACGTGAGTAGCAATGTCAAATTTACTCTTTCCGGTGTCATTCACCTTGGCATAAGTGATCATTCTCTTGTTTTTTTGTCACGTAAGACTCAATACTGCCGTATTGGCCCTCGCGTGATTGATACACGGCAATTTAAACACTTTAACAGAGGAAAATTCTTAAGTGACCTCAATCAACTACCTTGGGCCAATGTTCATTTGTATTCTGATCCCAATGAAATGTGGCATGTATGGAAAGAAATGTTTCTTGGCTGCGTCGATAAACACGCACCACTTAAATCCAAAAGAATTCGGAAAAAACGATCTCCATGGATTACTAGAGAGTTACTGAGCAAAATCCGAAAACGAGATTTCCTTAAAAGAAGGCAATCTCCTCCAATAACCCGGCTATATGGGATCAATTGGGTGTGCAAGAAATCAGGCAAATAACGCAATTAAACTCGCAAAAAAAACTCTATGTTTCTGACAACCTGGAAGCCAACAAAGGTAATTTGCGCAAAACATGGAATGTTATCAACGAGCTAACTTCACGTAACAGTGGTAAGTCAACGAATATTTTGGAGATCAAGGTAGATGATAAAATAGCAAGTAACCCTTTGGACATTGCGGAAACTATTAACGATCACTTTACAAACGTTGCGCAAGTATTAGCACAAGATATTCCTGTTGTCGATGTTAATCCTGAGTCTTATTTAAAGCCCACTGATCATTCGTTTTCTCTGCAAATTCCGAGCGTTGATATTGTTTCTAACGTTTTGTCGAAAATTGATGAAAAGAAAGCCACCGGTCTTGATATGATTCCGAGTAAACTGTTGAAAATGGCTGCTAATATCGTCGCACCCTCTCTTACCTCAATATTCTCAAAGTCTATTCTCACTGGGATATATCCAAACGATTGGAAAACAGCCAAAGTGACTCCACTTTTTAAAAAGGGCATTAAATCGGACCCTAACAACTACAGGCCGATATCTGTAATCCCTATAATTTCGAAAGTTTTTGAAAGAATTGTTTATAATCAACTTTTCCATTATCTAGATGATAATAAATTGCTACTAGGTTGCCAATCAGGGTTCCGTTCTCTACATAGCACGCTCACGGCTTTGCTTGAGGCAACAAATGCTTGGTCAGTAAACATCGACAATGGCCTTCTAAATGGCGTTGTCTTTATTGACCTTACTAGGCATTCGATACCATTGATCATGAGATCATCTTGCGTAAGATGTCGTACTTGGGTGTCGATCAGGCAGCTATAAAATGGTTCTCGTCGTACTTAAGTGGCCGAACCCAAAGATGTAATGTCAGTGGCAAACTATCATCTGCTCGTACCCTCAGTTGCGGCGTGCCGCAGGGTAGCATATTGGGTCCTTTGCTATTTTTAATTTACATTAATGATCTTCCCAACTCCCTGCGGGACGCCGTACCAAGAATGTTTGCCGACGACACCAACCTTACGTTATCTGCTAAGACGTTAACAGAGCTTAAGCTAGCTCTAACCCCTGAATTAAATAACCTTAGCTGTTGGCTGAAAGCTAACAAGCTCAGTCTAAATGTTGCTAAAACAGAGCTAATGATTATTGGATCAAGACAAAGACTATCTGCCCAATGTGACGATGTAGAAATCAGAATTGATGACCAAATTATTAAGAGAGTCGATCATACCAAATCCTTGGGTCTTACCATAGATGCTCAACTCTCTTGGGGTAAACACGTTGAAGAGATTTGCAAGAAAGTCTCTTCAGCTATAGGCGCCCTAAAACGTGTGCGGCCCTTTATATCCAAAGAAACTGCAATTCAAATTTATAACGCTTTAATTATGCCTCATTTTGATTACTGCAGCCCCGTCTGGGACTGTTTGAGTGGTTACTTGAGTGATAAGCTCCAAAAATTACAGAATCGTGCAGCCAGAGTTATTACTAAATCACCCTTTGATGCGAGCTCAAACCACCTTCTCTCCACCCTCAGCTTGAGAGGCTATCTCTTCGACGAAAGAAACAAAAAGCCGTAATGATGTATAAAACCATGAATGACCTTGCTCCAGAATATCTGCAAAGTCTTTTCTCTCAGCGTCACTCTGCTTACAACTTAAGAAACTCTGAGGGAAGGCTGACCTTGTCCAAACCAAGCACCAATTATTTGAAACGAAGCTTCTCTTACAGCGGGGCCATGTTATGGAATAACTTGCCCAAAAACTTAAAAAACGCTGCATCCGTTGAGCATTTTAAGCGAAATATCAAGAAGGTAGCTGATATATCGGATTCCCACACGGCAATCATGTAAAGCAGTTGTAATTAGTTTTAGTTTTTAACTTAAGCTTAACTGATGATTTCCCGTGTTTAAATAAAGATTTACATACATACATACTCTTAAGTAAGATCTTTCCTCGTAATAATGCATCCGTCAATTCCAGCTGCACCCACCGCCCCCCGGCTACTGCGTGGCATTTGCCCGCCTTGTCAGTCCCGGGAGGGTGGGGCATTTGCAAAATTTGCTCTGCCTGGGGGCCGGGCATTTACCGACCCCGGGGTTATTCCCAAGCTTTTGACACGCATGCAATTTCCTATTCAGATTAACTACACTGAGGATTTTACTGGAAAAACAAGCACATTGGCTCATCTGTCAAGGACCAGAAAAATTGAAGAGGGTTTTAAAGGTATGTTTTCGATTTCATGCCTGCTTTTTTTCAACGGCATATCAAGTCAGAATCACATGGTGAAATCGGAAGCTATCAGGACGTGAATCAAAGTTTTTTAGATAAGCTTAAATTGAATCAAATTTCCGTTGATATTATTTGAAGAAAATTCATTCATATGTAATTATAAAACTATTCGAATAGCCACTCGTCAGGTTTCTACAAAACGTTTGGTTCTCCATTTCAACGATTTTCGTATTAAACAGGTAAGGTACTAGGGAAATCCCTGGCAACAACCTACTTATAACCGGAAAGAATATGCAAGGCTTTCGAGATATGTTTAAAGCCTTTAGTGGAAACGCGGTTACAATAAATCTGTCCACACATACGACACCGATCGTGAATAAATTCGCTACAGCAAATTGTAGCGAAAGCTGAGTTTGTAATTACACTTCCACCAGCAGGTTTTATCATACCTTCAGTAGCATAGAGCGGCCAGTTAAGGAAAACACAAACCAGATCAGAAGACGCCATGTTAGTGAGCTGGTTTTAAAGTTAACAGACTTGATAAATGTTAGGATGACAAGAGAATTCCCCGTGACGCCAGCAAGCTGACCGTTGAAAGAATAACCGTTACTGTTTCGGTCACGCTAGAGAAGCGCCGTGTTTGGTGTGAACTGTAAACTGCGCTGCTATTATTCATGTCTCTTTATCATTTCACTAGCCACAGTAAAAGAAACCCTTCTCTGTTCATAAGGCATTTGAAACCTGGTGTGGAGAAATAATATCTTAACATATAAAGACCGCAAAAATTGATTCAGTGAGCTATTAACGCTTCCACCACCTGCATGCGGGTTCATCGTCCGATCACAATTAAAATTGAATGAACCTGAAAGTCATTATTGCATTTGCGAAACAAGTGTTAGATAGTAAGAACTTAGAGAATAATTTTCAACATTAAGTTTCAGTGACGATCAATATAACGACCACTTAACCGTCACTTCACCGATTTATATAACCACAGTTGAGGTTTTTATTCGATTCAGTGCTTTTTGAAAAAAAGTAGCATGAATGGTTTTACCAAAGTTAAAATTTATCCTGTTATTACCCGCCTGTATATTAACACTGTCCGTGGCGTGGAACTCATGAGCAACTAACATTTTACAATTGGTTATTACCATGTTAATCCAAAACTTTGTCTGAA